CATTACACCTCTCAGGGTTGTAATCACAATCGCACCCTGTAGGACCATAATCATAATTCACCAAATATGCCCCCAAGTACACTTCGTACGTGTACCAATCAATCCCAAAGTATTTAGCTCAACGTACAAGTACAGGTCAACCAATAACATTAACAAAATTTCATATCAGTTAGAATAATCAATAGGAATACAAAATTTCAGATAATTAAATGACACTCTTTGCAAAGAGATTTAAAAGACAGGAGCATATTGTATACTACTCCGTACCTCAAATCCATTAATGACTTCAATAAATGCGAAATTCAAAATATCCCGAATCAAATAGTCAAATTTGATAATAATCTAAAATAAAGTCACAGCTCAATTTTTGACTCCAAGATCTCATACATTTTTTTCTTCTATTCCATCTATCTATCTCCCTCTTTCTTTCTCTCTCTCTCTTTTTCTTTTTGTGCTATGGCGTTCAAATAGCCTGGACTTGGCTATTTATAACCAAGGCTTGCTTGGTCTCCAAGCATCACATGGACACTTGTCCATGTTATCTTTCTTTTGCATGTTTTCCATTTGCTCAACTCTTAACACCTTATATATATATATAGTCACACATATATATTCATTATATTATTACGAAACTAGACCTAAATTATAGTCATTTGACTTATTTTCATGCGAAAAGTCTATATTTGAGGTCCATTTATTCATAAAAAAATTATTATTTTTTATTTTTTATTTTTTAAATAATATTTAATTATATAAAATCATAATTCACGACCTAATTAGCGTGTCAATGATTAATTTATATACGGGTCATCACAGTTGTCAACCGAGACAAGATCGATTGTGTTGGGTACTGTTAATCTCTCACCATCACCATTCAGGGCTATCTAGTTATGGTTGATTACTTTGTACTTCCAGTTGCCACTTGCCAAGTAGTTCTAGGAATGCAATGGTTGGCAACCCTTGGACCCATTGAGACGCAGTATGCTCGGCTTACCATGAGCTTTCGAAAGGAAGGAATTACACATACGTTCCATGGCTTGCAACAACGTGAACTCCAAATCCTATCTGATAAGGAATTACATAACCTGCAAAATTTTGGTTTCCTCTTTCAAATCATTCTAGTGGGCACAAATTCTCAACCCAGGGACTACCCAAACGACTTAGGCCTACTCTTGGATTCTTTTTCTCACATTTTCAGAACTCCTATGAGTATGCCTCCTCATCGCACACGTGATCACCGCATTCCACTGCAACCTAACGCTACACCAATGTCTTTTCGACCGTACCGCTATCCCTATTATTAGAAAAAAGAATTTGAGCGAATGGTTCAAGAACTACTTCAGGTCGGATTCATACGCCCTAGTACGAGTCCCTTCTCTTCTCCAGTTCTATTGGTCAAGAAAACTGATGGGGAATGGAGGTTTTGCGTGGATTATAGAAGCTTAAACACCATCACAATCAAAGATAAGTATCCTATACCCGTCATAGATGAATTACTAGATGAACTTCATAGAGCCAAGTTCTTTTCAAAACTCGATCTTTGGGCAGGATATCATCAGATTCGTGTCCATGCTAAGAACATCTCAAAAACTGCTTTTTGCACTCATGAGGCCACTATGAATTTGTTGTTATGCCCTTTGGCCTCACGAATGCCCTTGCAACATTCCAAAGTTTGATGAATGACATTTTTGTCTCCACCTCAGGAAATTTGTTTTAGTGTTTTTTGTCGACATATTAGTTTATTCCAAGTCCTAGGATGAGCATCTGTCTCACTTAAGGGTGGTACTAAAAAATTTATCTGCCAACAAGCTGTTTTTCAAGGAGACAAAATGTAGGTTTGGCGTTGCCACAGTAGATTACTTGGGTCATATTGTCTCTGAACAAGGAGTAGTAGTTGATCCAATGAAAATCCAATCCGTCCTTGAATGGCCAGTACCCACAACAGTCAAGGGAGTATGAGGATTTCTTGGTCTAACGGGATACTATCGAAAATTCATTAAGCAATTTGGAATCATTGCGGCACCACTTAACCATCTCTTGACAAAGGATGGTTTCCACTAGAATGAGGCAGTAGATACAACTTTCCAACAATTGAAGCAAGCCTTGACACAACCACCAGTTTTGAGTCGTCCTGATTTCACAAAACAATTCGTGATTGAGTGTAATGCAAGCAGTTTGGGCATTGGTGCTATACTCTCCCAAAACTCATGCCCAATAGCTTATTTCAGTGAACCCTTGAAGGGAAAGGCTTTGACTCTGTCGACGTATGAAAAGGAGATGTTGGCCCTAGTAAAATCGATCCAAAAGTGGCACCTTTATTTACTAGGGAAACCATTTACAGTCCGTATGGATCAAAAGAGTCTCAAGTATTTACTTGAGCAACGTATTACCACTCCAGCTCAACTTTGTTGGCTTCTGCAAAAAATGGGGTATGATTATGTAATTGAATACAAGCAAGGCATTGAGAATCAAGGGGCCGACTCATTATCTAGGGTGGTAGAGTTTTAGTTGTTATCAATCTCTATGCCCAAGGCTAAATGGTGGAAAGATTTATAAGCAGAGGTCCAAAATGATCCCTTCTATATCACGTTGACAGAGACTCCATCGCATGTTGGGTTGTAACATCGAGATGGCATATGGTTTAAATTTGGGAAGATCTATTTGAGTCCAACTTCTCCACTAATTCCTAAAGTACTCGGTGAATGTCATTCGACACCATCAGGGGGACATTTTGGGTTCCATAAGACTTTTTCTCGCGTGAAGGTTAGTTTTGTTTGGCCTCAAATGCAACGATTCATTAAGAATTTTTTGCAACAGTGTGAAATTTGTCAAAAATTCAAAACTGATTGCATAAAGCCCACAGGCCTACTATAGCCCTGTCCAATCCCTGAACGTATTTGGACAAATGTGTCTATGGACTTTATTGAAGGGTTGTCATCTTCTCATGGGTATTCAACCATTCTGGTAGTTGTTGACCATCTCACAAAATATGCCTATTTTGTTGCTTTGAAGCATCCATTCATTATCGCCTCGGTTGCACGAGAGTTCGTATCCAATATCGTTCGTTTACACGACATCCCTAAATCTATCATTAGTGACCGTGATAAGGTTTTCATCAACTCTTTTTGGCGTGCTCTCTTCCAACTACAGGGAACTAATCTCTGCATGAGCTCTAGCTATCACCAACAAATAGATAGTCAAACAGAGGTAACTAATCACACTTTGGAACAATATCTAAGGTGTTTTGCAGGGGGCCAACCGCACAAATGGGTTGAATGGATTCCTTGGGCTGAGTACAGTTACAATACCTCAACTCATTCGTCCACTAAGATGACTCCATTCGAGGCTGTATATGGAATTCCACCGCCCAATTTATTGTCTTATGTTCCTGGAACTTCTCAAGTCCAGGTGGTGGATGGTTTTTTGCGGACCCGAGATGAAATATTGAATGAGTTGCGGTTCAACCTCTTACGGGCTTGCGAACGCATGAAGTGCCACACTAATCAGCACCGTCGAGAAGTTTCGTTTGAGATAGGTGATTATGTGTTTTTGAAGCTCCATCCCTATCGCCAGAAGTCAGTGGCCTTTGGAAGTTCGTTAAAGCTCTCTCCAAGGTTTATGGTCCTTACCAGATTATTGAATGAGTGGGTCCTGTTGCTTATCGTTTGGCTCTTCCTCTAGGTTCACAAATTCATAACATTTTCCATGTTAGTATGCTACGCAAACATTTGGGACCTATTGCGATGGCATCTCCTCAACTTCCATCTGTTACAGATGCTGCCACCATTATTCCACAGCCTGAAGCCATTCTAGATCATCGTGTGGTCCATAAGGGAAAGTATCATCCAAAAACAGAGGTTCTAGTGAAATGGAAGGATGCTCCGATAGAAGATGCCACTTGGGAGAATGCTTGGCGACTTCAGAAGAAGTACCCTTCTTGCATCCTTGAGGACAAGGATGTTTAGGGGGGGTATTGTTACGGGCATGACAGTTTACCAAGTGCACACAATGTGTGATGTGGCCTATGTGTTTGCCATGTTTGTTGGTAATTGGGTTAGTGTGGGATATGATTGAATGGGTCTTGGGTAGATAGATATTTAGCTGGTTGTTCCTTTTAATTAGGTCTCTAGTTGCTGATAAATAGCTTTGTGGTAATTATGGTTTCCTATTAGTTTGCATTGTTGTTTCTTTCATTCCAAGTTTTGTAAGGCTGTAAGATATAGCCATTTCCATTCAATTAATAAGAAATTAACCAGTCCTGAAGTCCAACTCTGCTCTCCTTCCTTTTTATCCTCTACTTCCCAAATTCTGCACACAACACACACAGGTATTAGCATCTTAGGCCAGTCGGATTTATTATCTGTGATGCCATGTGAACACAATACCGGTGTGGAATAGCCACTACGGAATGCATTCTAGCCAACTATTATGAATTTTTCACTTGCAACTTGTTTTCAAGATGCAATTTCACTAAATCAATTTCTATTTACATCTCCTTTTAAGTGGTAGATTAGGATCAGGTATCTCTTGTATCAGAAAAGATCACTTGCCATTGGCCTCCACATCTTCAATCTTGCCGGTGAAGATGATCTCTCTCTCTCCCCATTCCCTCCTTTCTCTCTCTCTCTCCCCATTCCCGCCTTTCTCTCTCTTCTCCTTTTACAATCAAATTCTCTTGCTAAGCATATGTCAAATAGAAAAGAATGCATTTCCTTTTGCAAAAAAGATAATTTTAAAGGCTTCTCGGGCTCATGCTAGGCTATTTGTTGTGTATAAATTGAATTTTAGCAGTTAAAACAAGCTTACTTCACTTCCATATTGTTTTCTCCTCCGTGGTAGTTTGCTGACTAGAGCAAGAATGATGATTGAGCATCCCCTTAAGTCCTTTGACCATATACAATGATCTCACAGAGTCCTCTTTCCCAGTAAAATGAATGTTACTTACATGCTGCATGACAGGAGGAAAAAGCTATAAATCTGAGAAATATATATAAACATCGATGATTAAATATCAAACCGAGAACTGGTCTAGCTATATGATTGAATCTTCATTCGGCGACAGTTACAAGAATGTGATGCCAGAATATGTTCGTTCTGTGTCACAATTCATATTCATGGCTACATATGACAGATGCAGTATCATAAACTTGGACATACGAGAAGTGACTACAGGAGCAGCACGAGACACTCCAACCACCGGTGGAACAATAGTGTTCACATCTTCATTGCCCTTGGGGCTATATGAATTGTTCCAATTTCAGAAATTCTCACGCCATTATGCACCGGCTATTGTTGGTTTGCTGTTCTAGCATTGGTTAATGGTGAGCTCATTGTTTCTGCAACATGAAAGGTAAAGAACAAGTTTTCACTACACTTGCCCAATATTTTGGTTCTCAAGAGATCCAAAACTTCCTCCAATCTGAAAATGATATCAAATGTTATCTGTATATTTGAACATACTACAACATTTTTGAGTCACTTCTTCTGAATAATGTAAAGGATAGAGATAATTTTCATCAGGTTCAGATTGATGTGGATGCAAAATATACTCCTCGATTAAGACAATCACTAACCATCACCCAGACTAATCAAACCCCATAATTTCATCCAAACTATTCCATGGCTAGACCTATTCACAACAAGTTACGCTAAAATTAAGGTTAGAAACTACTCGAGAGAGACGAGAGAAAATGGATCAACTAAGACAAATACATGTACCAATGAGAAAGAGTGAGCTGACTGAGTCGTGGGCCGCTTGGTCGGCTTAGACTAAAGCTACAATTGGTGCTGCTTGACTAGTAAGGTAAAAATGATAATCCAAGGCTCATGTAGCTGGCCTTGCCACTAACTAATGTAATACCCTAATCCATTTCAAAAATTTGCTTTCGCCAACGATCCTCCAATTGAGCCTCCAGAGGCAAAGGTGCATGAAATAGTTGGATAAGACTTTGTCAAGTTGGGTTTGGACAATAAGAAAAATGAAGGATAAGTTTGGCAATAGAAAAAAAGAGATGGAAGGCCATAGTACCAGAATATAAGGTAAATTTGGGTTGCGAAAGTTCCTCTTATCATTTTAAAGCCCATTTACTCAACTACCTTGCCCTCCATAATGCCATAATTTTTCAAGGACTTTGTGAACTTTTGTTAGGTCTCTTCAACAATGGACACCTTGCCATTCGTAAGAGACAGATTTAGCACTTGAAACGAAGATTTTGTATTTCTCTGATGTTCACAGGTGGCAACAAGACTCAGAATAACAAAGGAGAGAGTCTCACCAGTCACCAATGATACTTCCACAAGAAACGAGTCCGTCAAGCAAATACCAGAATCCAGTCAAGACAAGTCTTTTTTGTTCTGCATAAACCTTAGTGAAGACCTGGATGGAAGATGACTTCATGGCAGGGGCGACCCAACCTATTTTGGGGCCCTAGGCAAAAATGTTATAGGAGGCGTTCATGGTTACATTTTTACCACAGCCTTCAACCCTGGCTAACAACCCAGCTTCTGTCAACACTGAATCTTGCTCATCGGAAATCAATTCAAACATCCCAAGAGACACTGCCCTTCCATCTTGTATGCCATCTGCATCTGATCCACATGTTTCCATTTGAACTCAATCTGCTTGGCTTACACACACTCCTGAATATGTTCATTATGAATATGTTATGTGTCTACTCTCTTGACTTGATGAATCAGTTGAAGTTTCTGTTTGATCTCTCTGCACTTGTTAATCAATAGTATGCCTAAAAGCATAAACAATATTTATTGAGATACCCAGATTTCTTGTATTTACATCCTTCGTCGTGTTTCCCCACCATTTTGAACCCTCCTGTCCCTTCCTGGAATTGTTCTGACTTCTGAGAGTTAGAAATGCATCCGGTATCACTAAAACGATCAAAGCATGCCACATATTGACTCTCTGGTGAACATATATAAGTATAAAGTTGATCAAGGAAGTCGTATATCCCCACTATTTGGACTTGGTTCCCCTTTTGCTAGGCCACGGTCAATTACATTCTGAAAATGAGATACCTCAATCAAAAAGGTGGTGAAAAACCCTATGCTGGAGTCAATAATTGCAGGCACTAAAAAGCTTTCGTGCAGAAAACGACCACACGGTAAGATTATAAAAGAAAATTCAGATCTGAAGGAAGTTGTAACACTTTTAGCTGTAGCTCAAGATATTGACCTTTTTCTAAAATTTCCTGGTGCTCTGTTGTTTCTACGAGAATATTTATAAAATAGCTAAGTATCTTACATTGCTAAAAAAAGTCAATTATGAGGTTCAACTATTTAATAATACTTTGGAGACCTATACAAAAGAAGTCCTCAATTCTGAAGTATCCACATATAAGAAGGCACTGTTTTGACACATTACAGGAGCATGCACTCTCACATACCGTTCTTTGGTGACATTCCCATTAAAGTTCCAACAAGGATAAATCAAAAATTGCTATTGCTTTGTAAAGAGTACTTAGGAACAGACAGAAACACATTAGGAAAATGTTGGAACAAATGAGCGATGCTTCAAGTAAACAGTCAAAACCTTAACCAACCAGTTTTTAGGTATACAATTTGCTCATTTAGGTAAAACTCATTAAAGAACACTACATAAGCAATTTACAGCCCAACAATTAACATGAAAAGTACATTGCTTCGAAACTTGAGGGAAATAGCTTACATTTACCCTATCATCCTTGGATTCATGCGGACGGTTGCTGGAACGGTCTCTTGCCTAGCAGCCTCACGCTCAACATTATTGTGACAGTGTGTGCAGTTGCAACCATGACGATAAACTCCAGAAGCAAAGCACTCACAGTAGTTAGTGATTGCCAAGACCAACTTCAGAACAATTTTGTAAAGCAAAATCAATAGGAATGAGATGATGCACGACATACGGATATAATGTAATGAAAGAATCTGCACACCCATTAGCTTGAACAATTCTAGGTCACTAACATTGTACGTAGGAACTAAATCGTATATTATTTAGCGAACCAATTACATTGAAAAATATGTAACGAAGCAAATAAGGTCAAATGGAAAGAAAGAGGTAAATATGATATACTTTATGCTGGTGTGCGACAGCATTCAATCCTCCAACTCTTTCTTGCTGATGAAACATTAACTTTGTCTAACAGTTAAGTAAAATAAAATGTCCTAAAATAGTTGAGTAAGGTCATGATATCTTAGCAGCATAGCGTGAAAGAAAATCTGCTTGCCAAATATGTAATTATTTCAAGCATCCTAATTATCTTGTTGATATGAGTGAAAGAAAGAGTTGAATGAAGTGAGAAAGGGAAAGGATACATGGACAATACTAAAACTAAGTGAATATATGTGTACTTCATCCAAAAGTTTTTTTAGTATTCTTCTGATTCAAACCAGTACATTGGAAAACAGATGTGCCTATTCTCCATCGATATTGACATAGTTGTTGATTATACTGCTTTTGCCACTATTTAGGGACACCCGGAAAAAAATCTAAATTTTTTACCTCATACAACTTGAACTCCTGGCAACTTAGATTGGGCCACAAAGAAAGCACCATTGGTTGCAACTAAGCTAGAATTTAAAAATTAGAGGCACAATTCAATAAAGTAGAGGCATGAACTGTTGGGAATTTGCCTCGCAGTAATTTGGTCAGTACAATGACAACTCACAACACTAAGATTTATGTAGTTCGACAAAATTACTTTGCCTACATCCATGAGGCATGATCCAGCCTCCTTTCTTTACTATTGTAAGAAAATGGGTATAATGGTACAAGTCTCACCAAACCCAAAAAATCTCTCGCACTCTCAACAAGAGAATGAAGGTTCTGGGACTTGTCTAAAAAAATGTAAGCCCCAATGAGAAGCAAAATGTAGGTATGGGCATATCGATCAATGGTGATGGCATCAGCATCATCTCGGAGCGGCTCAACAAATATAGCAGCCAGAATGGTCATCTTAAGTCGAGATCCAGAGAAAGCAGTGTCCAGTGGTCTAATGTCTAGATGCTGGTCATAGTAATTCTGCCACTCCAGCACTATATAATGAGTGTCAACATCAGTCACTACATCACCGTCAATGGGGAGTCTGGAAAGTAGTGTCATGTCCTGCAATATAATCGTCGCCCCGTCAATGAGCAAATGGAATGTATGCGTCTCTACCTTCCATCGTTCCACTAGTGCACTGACCAAATGGTGGTCCAACTGTATAAACTCAATACTGTGTATCCCATAAAATTCAAAAACCATAACACGATGCAATACTTTATCATCGGGACATTGCAAGTGACACATAGTCGCCTCAGCCCGACAACACTTCAATGGTTCTAATTCTTTTAATAATTACATAAAGTCAGTTAAATGCAATTTGTGGGTTAAGGTTTGAATATATGTATTGTAGTCAGTAAATTACGTGTCTGTCCATCTCATATCTGTGTGGACATATGGTGTGTCTGCAAGTATAATACTGTTGGATCAACAGGTCCCGAGTGTATTTGGTCACGCGCCTACTAACACTCCATACCTTAATTGCATTAAATTACATTATAATAACATATTGTCACTACACCAGCATAAAAAATTACATAGACTCGTTACATAACATATAAATACATGTCACTACATAGGGTAATATTTTCATCTAATATGTATGGTTCATTATGTAATACATTTCAATACAACAAACAACTATACGTACTTCTTCAATGAAATTTACACAATTTATTCTTCATTAGTCATATAATCATCTGATATGTATTATTCATTATTTAATACATTACTACGTTCTACATCTGATAATTCTTGTTTATATGCATTTTATACCATGTCCGTTGTAACTTAAACCATATAATATCGCCGCCTACGAACTAACATTCGATTATTCTCTTTTCGAATTTGAATAACTGCTGATTCGTTATCTTGTTTGTTTCTCCTTTGCATCAATAGAGATATTCGGTGTGGCACCAGTATACCAAGTACTCTTAACTCAGTGCATCAATCATTTGATTCCTTAGCACGAAACGTCCGTTCTCGTCTTAGTCCAGCATAATACTATTTTGGATCAGTAAATTTCTTATTTTTGTAATCATCGTTACACTCTGTCAAAAGTCAAACCCTTTGCCATTTACGATTGTTTGCAACTATTGGTCCTCGGGATATAGACATAGTTCAATTCAATTACGTATATGCAACTAGTACACAATGTGAATATAGGCAGAATATAACGAAAAACAATGTAATTACATAAAAATGGGTACATTTTTAGTATTACACATACACAACATACTTATATAGATGAACATAGTTCATTTATTATAGGCACACATTACATTATCATCTACATTCAATGACCCCTACACACATCTTAAGCAGTTCTAGATGGGCATGCATTGATATGTGGCCTGGTTGACCACACAATTTGCATTGATACGTACTACGACTATGTCGTAGTTTCATTTCATTTCAGATGCGAGTAAATTGGGAACGACCCTTCAAGCGTAGGAGATTCAGATTAGGACAGACTTTTGGATTAGTACACGTATACCAATAGTCTCTGTGATGCAGTGGATGTAATTCAGAGATTTAAGAGGCATCATGGACAACAACAATGTATATCTCATCAACATATTGCCACGGGTTTAAATGCCTTTTTGAAAAAAGTGTCATCGCATGAGAGCATGACATTTTATAGGTGTTCCACTTTCCACAAGAACATGTGTGGTCTAAAATGTTTATTACCTGTGCATTACCCTTTTTAGTGACCACATATGCCTCCACGGTGGTTCGGCTGAATGTGGTAACATTGTGATCGACTTTTTTTATTGCAACATATAACATCTTCTCTACAGTGTCAGGTGTGAAGAGCACCCGCTATTTGACGCTGAACCACGTCTGTCATTAAAATACTAAACAAGCTTATAAAATATTGTTTCAACACATGACATGATCGGTAAATGTTTTGCTTGTTTTAGGAAAAAATTAAACACCTCAAAAATGTTGGTTGTTATGACTCCATAACATCTTCCACCATCATGTGTTAGTGCCCACTTTTCTTTTGGTATCTGATCAAGTCAACGAACTGCAAATGGGTTGAGTTTGTTGATTTCTGCTATAATCTTTTCATACTTGAAGATTTGATGTGCAGTACCTGTATCCCATACTAGACGTTTAAGATGAGAGTTATGAAACTTACTGTTGAAGTTACTGCGGACATGTCATAAGCAAAATCGATGGTATGCATACGGTGTTTGCTAGCCGAAACCATGAGCAGCCACTGATTGAATTATAACTTGATGACGGTTAGATAACAGACATATGCCCGGATGGTCACCGACAACATCGTGTCTAAGTCTCTAAAAAAACCAACCCCTTGTATCTATACTTTCCTCATAGACGATTGCAAAGGCAAGAGGATAAATTTGATGATTTTTATCGAAGCTCGTAACAATTAACAATTTCCTCTTGTACTTCCCGTACATGAATGTGGCATCGATGCTTATAAGTGGACGACAATTGGAAAATCGTCAATACACGGTTTAAATGCCTATAAGTGGGCCATACTCATTCACCATTGGCTGAAAAAACTGTTCGATGTGCTCTGCTTGTATGTACAAGTC